TATTTTTTCTTGAAAAAGTTTTGCTTGAAGCTGGAACTCAAGAATTGAAGAAGCTTCTTGGACGAGAAGTGAAAGATTTTCAAGGCAAATATCAGGAAAATTGCCAGTTGCCTTTTCAAAAGAACCTTTAGGATGATTTTAAGCATTAGTTTATTTCAAGTTGTATTTGGAAACTGCTTTGAAATGAAGAGAGGCATATAAATAAATAAATCTAAAATGTTTGATCTCAACCCAACTAATAATTGAGGTATTTGTTCTAAATATATTTTGTCTATGACTCTTCTTATCTCTGCTTTTACATAAAAAGAAATGAATCTGAAGAACAGTTTCTATGGTTAACTATACCAAGTCTTCATGGAGCTCCATAGAAGGATACTGCAGATGTTTTGTGATTGAATGGTTCCTATTATAATGCATCAATAACCTTGGGTGCATAGGTTTGAGATAGATTTCTTGTGGCTTCAAACATTTCCCCCTGAATGCATAGTGCAAGAATAATCTATTGTTGTTGGACTCTTGAGTAAAACCATGACAACAAAAATACAGACCTAAAAATCAGGTTAAGAGGACTTGATATGGATCACATTGCTCTTTGATTTTATGCTTAGAGAAGTATCTCTTTTTGTGGCTGCATTTCAAAAGCTGCACAATTTGAAACGGACATATTTGATTTGTCTCGGTGATTAACAAAACATATACACTATCACCATTTTCATTTTTAAATAAGGAAAACTGCTTTATTCTTGAGATATTCTCTTATCAGTGTTGCCAGAGTTCAAAATGTGCTTTGAATTAAAGAACTACATTTAATTAGAAATCCACATAACAGCTTTTTTCTTTGAAAATGTACAAGAGCTTTGAAGAAAAATCTAGTTTGTCTAAAAGACAAATCAAAAGACAAAGTTTACTTCAATTAGATTTCCATGGTTGTGATCCATGGTTGTAGGAGCAGGACAAGTTAAAAAATATCTTAAAAATGTGATTTCTATACCAACTATGCTAGTGCTATTGTCTAGCACTTATATTGTAGGAAAAACAGGTCTTGTAATACACTAAATACATACCAATAAAAATGCAAAATATTAAAATGACTATGATAGTGTTATCTATCTAGCTTATGTTGTTCTTCCCACCACCTTTACAGGAGCACAAGAAAAAAAATCAGAATGTTTAATGAAAAAATTACTTTCAATTAATGTCAAAAGTAATTGATACATTTTTCAGATGCTGTAAAATACTGCATTTTCCAGAAACAAAAGCATAATTCTTGAAATGTCTATGGAGATGGTTGTCCCAAACCATTTTTTTCTTTTTCAAGAAGATTTTCTCTTTTTTCTCTGAAGACATTTTGCTTCTCATCCAAGAAGCTTCCATCATCCATTCAGATCTGAAGAAGCTTCTTGGATCAGAAGCGAAATGTCTTCAAAGAAAAAACAGAAAGTCCATTTGCCTCTTGAAAAGAAAAAAAAGCATCTTTGGGATAATACTTGAAACTGCTATATTTTGTATTTCTTTGTTCATACTACCAGGATAATGGATGTCATTAAATGGTTAACATAAAATAAGAGATGGCAAAAGATATTTAGCGAATTCCACTGCAATATCCCAAATTTATTCTAAGTATGGTAAGTATCAAAGTGCTTTAGCATAGAAGTTCCCAATAACTTTCAAAGGTATCTTGCATCTTTCTAGTATATAGGTTAATCTTTTATACCTGCGGTTTTCTTCTTTCACAAACAGAAATGATGTGGATAGGGACCTAGGCGATTCTAATTCAATGTTTCCTGCTTCACCAGGTCTACCGTCTTGCATTACTAGACTATTTTTCTGAGACCTAAAGTATGGATCCAATGGAGCCTCTTTGTATCATATAACTATTAGTATAATAAATATGACAGAAATTATGGTTGAGTGAGAAGCTGTGAGAGGACAGATTTCATTTGTACTGTTTCCAATAGTTATTTGAATATGTACTCATAACTGAAGGCATCATATACTGATTGAAGTCATATGGACATACTTCCCAATATACAGTAAGAATTTCAGATTTAAATTGACCTCACTTTATAGCAGTAGGTCCCTCTCTGCTAAATGAAGAAGGCCTAGAGCGGGGGTGTCAAACTGGTGGCCCACGGACCAGATGCGTCACGCAGAGGCCATGCCCACCTCAGCTCCCTGAAGGGGGGAAAAATGCCGCAAAATGTCACAACAGCAATGCGACGCCACGAGTTTGACAACCATGGTCTAGAGCAAACCTTGCATATATACCCACTTGCAGTCAATCCAAAATAGGGAAAATCTTGGCAAACTGAAATGTTCAGGAAAGGACATGGCATTATAACAGTTAAATCAGACTGTCACAATTAGGAATGAAAATTATTTTCCAGTTCAGAATGATATCATCAAGTGTTTCTTAGCTTCCCTTTCTGGGAACATTGAGGATCTGACTGACAGAATGAAGTAGAACTGGCTGCAGTGGCTACTCATTTAGTTTCACTTTAAATTCTGTCCATCTGCACGTGCAAAGTTGCTTCCTATCACAGTCTTTTTGCAAACTTCTGCACTGCTCTTGCAACTCAGCCTTCCCACACACGATATTCCAAAAGCATCCTGCCAACATGACCCTTCCACTTCATTCTAGGTTTTTTTTAGGACATGAAGCTTTTCTTATTAAGTTGAACACTGTGTGCTTTTCTCTCTCTTTACTTCTGAAATCAGTCTCCCTCCCTTAATCCCACTTGCAACCTGCTTCTCTCAGACTTTCCTTTCCATTCTAGAAATAAGAAATGCTTAATAAGGTAAGCAACAGATAGAACCAGAAAAATCCTGGGTTGCAAAGGGAGCTGCTAACTGAAGGGAGAGAAAAATCTCAGGTTAAACTAGAAAGAGAGAAAACATATTCCTAGCTTTTCTTATACTGACTTTGAAAATGTAACTATTGTCTTATGTTTGTTAGGACGGTGCAAATTATATTTACTCTCTATAAGAAAACGTACTGGGGATTCAAGATTTTAGGAATAATGCTGCATGCATTATTCTCCTAAATCTAGTGAGATGGTCATATTGCAGCATACAGAATGGACAGCTGCACTTGCATATATTCAGATACTTTTATTACATTTATATTGATTCATAAAAAATATTACCAAAAGAATATTCAGTCATAGGAATGCTGCTGAAAGAATATGTCCCCCTATGGCCAATTAAGCTCTGTTGCTAGTAAGTGTGGATAGACCTGTGTCCTCAATTGATTTTTTTCCCTTCAGAAGATGGCATTTACCTCTGCGTAACTAATGATTATGGCTTAAGTGTTAGCTTTACAGTAGTCTAAGGTCAGCTGGTTGTATTTTGCTCATTTTCAAGGGGCCTCACTGGATCTCCTGCCCCCTTCAGTGAAGAGGCAGATGGTTCCTGAGGAAAAAAAAAGAGGGGGTTTTGTTCGTGGACTGTACTCTCTGGAAAGCATCCATCTACTATAGCAATCCTTTACCTTCCTAGATTTTGAATCTAGGTTGTTGGGGGTTTTCTTTGAAAAATAGTCCGATATTCTTTTATCTTATTGTCCTATTGTTCTTTTAAGCCTCAGATCCATAACCAGAGTAGCAGGTCTGGGGTCATCACCTCAGGTTTGGATTGTCTCCTAACCCTTCTTCCATATTTGCAACTGGGAGGATAAGCATGGAATGAATGAATGGTGGGTGAGAAAGTTCACTTACAGTTCTCTTTGAAAATAGAAGTAGGCAGACTGAGGAACCGCAAGGAGCAAACCTATAAAGAAAATAACTTCTGATTAGGGCATGATTTCTCTTCCTGCCCAGGGAGCCCAACTGATCATTGCTTTCTATGATATGCTGCGTATTCTCACACACACACCAGCTTCAGTTTTCATGCACTTTTAAAGGCAAATCCATTTCTAGGAGCTAGATTAGCTGCCAACTCTACCACTAGGTCAAGGGGGGGGGGGGAGCCTTGCCTAGCTTTCCCCTTTGATGTCCATCTAAATTCCTCCCTCTGAAAGGTTATGTGCGGTTATGGTGAGGGCTAGCACTGGAAGGGAGGGGGATGGAGAATAGAGGAGAGGGGGTAAAAAATCATCCCTTGTTGCAAAGAGCGATTTTTTATATGCCTAAACAGAAAAGAAAAATAACGCGTGGAGAAAGGGGGAGAGAAGAAGAGAGACCCAGCCTCCTTCCACCTAAAATATTCAACTTCTTTTTTTTGGGGGGGGGGGAGATATCTTGAGGGATGATCCACACACAGTTCCCGCCGGCGTCCTGAGCTACGCCTGACCTAGAGAATCCCCGCCTGCCACATGGCGAATGTCCTCGACCACCTGGACCCGGAAGGCTCATCCTCGAGAAAAGGCAGGTTTGTTAAAGGCAGGCTCCCTAAATTGCTGACGCAGGACGATTTCCACTCGCGCGTGTGTGTGGAGATTGTACTGTGTTTGCAAAGCCCGTGTGTGTTTGAGGCGGGAGGGGGGGGCGGAGGAGGCTGCCACACTGCTGTGGCGCTTTCCGAAACTCCGGACGGACTCGATCTTCCTAAAGGGTAAGTAAGGCTTTTCTGAATCTTAAATCAGCTTTTCTCTACCCCTCCCGCGGCAGGGCAGGACTAAATATCTCCTCTCCGCGCTCGTTTCCCCCCCCCCCCTTCCCTCTGAGGGAAAGGAGCGGCAGTCGGCTCCCTTCTTCTCTTCAGCGAGGAGGGAAAGACGCGAGCGGGCTGCTGAACGGCCGCCGCCGCCGCGCTCGACCGGGAACGGCCCATTGGGCGAGTGGTGGGGTGGGGATCGCACGGCAGGAGCAGCGCCCCCTCACCGCTGACTGGCTCTCACTGCCTCTCGGGCGCGCTCTGATTGGACGGAAGGGAACCCCCCTGTGCCGGGGTGTCTTGCTCAAGCAAAGGGGCTTGCCTAAGACAGCAAGTTCTATAGCGGAGCCGGGGGGCACATGGTCGAGCACCGCCAGCGAAGGACTTTCGCCGCTGCATCCCTTCCATTTGGATTAACGGTTCCTGGCGGCGGCGGCGGCGGCGCCTGAACGGCGAAAGGGAAGCCCAAAGAAAACGACCCGGTAAGGCTGCCTCCTTGAACAACCGGGCTTGTTTACAGCCCTCTTCGCAACCTTAGTCTCGGGGCAAAGGCAGGTACCAGGCTGCAGAGAGACTCCCGAAGTTTCTTTCCATCGCGCGGTTCTTCTTCCACAGATCCCTACGATGCCAATTGCTTTTGTTTTTTTTTCCGGAGAGAAAGTGGAGATCTAGCGTCCTGAGAAAAGCTTTCCTGGGGAGCAGATCGGTCCTCTTCCTCCATCCCCCCCCCCCTCAATCCGCCCGGATCTGTCATGCAGCAAAGAGAAAGCTGGGCACAATAGCGGCAATAGCAATAAGCCCTTAGACTTCTATGCCGCTTTACAGTGCTTGACACCCCTCTAGAAGCGGATTACCTATAGTCAGCCTATCTCCCCCAACCCATTTGGGTCCTCATTTTATTATCCACGTCTGAAGGATGAAAGGCTGAGTCAACCTGGAAAGTCCTGCTTTTAAAAACGAGCTCTAAAAAATAATAATAAATTTTTTTTTAAAAAAAAGCCTCCGGAAAATTTCTCCGGCGGGCGCGGTATAAATCACGTAGGCAGCTGGGACCAAGTCAGCCGTCCTTGTGAGAAAGGAAGCGACCCGCTAGCAAAAAAAAAAAAAAAAAAAAACACGAAAGGAGCGAATAGCAACACCTTTTCGCCCTCTCTCAGTTTTTGCGGGCAAACTCAGGTGCCGCCAGTTTTTAAGGCTAGTCTTCATGTTTGGCGTTAATGCCATCGGCTGAAACAGCCTAGTGATGCGGGCAAAATTCGCCGCCGCTGACTCTTCTCTGTTTATGACGGTGCTTCCCGGTTTTGCAAGCGAGACGCGGGCATGTTTTCAAATTAGCATTCACTTTGTAAGCATGACTTTGCGGGGTTGAAGGTTTCCTGCTGACCTGCTTCGTGTGCATATGTGTGTAGATTGCCCTAGATAGAATGAGCTAGCTTTTTGCCTTGTTGGACTTAATGCTCAGATGTCAAGTTAGATCAATAAAGTAAAAAAAAAAGACTCAATATTCACGTCTCGTTTTTCTGATTCAGTTGGATTCTAATGACCTTAAATTACTTTAAGAAAAAAGGTACAATTATGAAAAAAAGGTTGAGGCTAGGGGATATTTTTTGATTGTGCAAATTGATACTTCCATTTTTATTTTTTTTTTGGTCATTATCGAGAAGCCGTGTTTGGTAACATCTAGAATCAGAACAGACTTGAAGTGGCTTGTTTGTCATTATGGTTTCTTTCTCAAAAGTCTTATTGGTGTATCTCTTTTGTCCCCATGCCTACAAAGTAAAGGAGGTGATTTTAATCCTTTGCTAGGCAAAATCCAGGAGTACTTTGCCAATATTGTCAATCACTGGCATCTCCTGTATTAGGCAATGATGGGAGGGGGAGGGAACCGATGGGTGAGTTTTTTTTCCCCTTGGTGACCAATTTTAGTGAAAGTTGTTTTGAAGTTAACCTTAAATATGTCTTTCCCCAAATGTCTTTTAGCAAGAAGGCGTGTGTGTGTATGTATGTATGTATGTATGTATGTATGTATGTATGTATGTATGTAAGTAAGTAAGTAAGTAAGTAAGTAAGTTAGTTAGTTAGTTAGTTAGTTAGTTAGTTAGTTAGTTAGTTAGTTAGTTATGGGGTAAGCTTGACTGGTTTTGAAAAAGTGGAATGCTGAGTGTGATATTATGCTCAACACATTATAATGAAAAATTAGCAAGAAAGAAGCATCATTATATTGTCAGTATGTTAAGCAACATCAAGGTCATTAGAGTTTAGCAACACTGTGACTGTGGGTCTCATGCAAAGTACTTGCTCCTATTATGTTTACCTTTGAAATCTGTGGTTAAAAATAGGTTCAGGCTTCTGGAAAATATAGCTTCTGAGGCATCCTAAAGACTGGATTCAGCTGTAAATTGTTATCTTCTTTTGTTTAAAAATAATGACAAAGAATCAGCTAATCAACAAATAAGACTAAGAGTGTTGGATGGGAGGAGGGGAAATCAATAAATAAAGGTTTTGCTGATTTAGATCTATTACTAAAGCATCACTGCTGGCATATCAGACCAGTAAGCAGAACATAGCAATATATAATCTACTACCCAAATCAATAAGGCTCTTCAAATGTAAATGTCAAAAGTTTATAGCTTTTTTTAGAACTACATCTGGAAGGATTGAGTTGATTAATCGGAAAGAGAAAACTTCCCCCCTTCATAAATTGTGTGTGTGTGTGTGTACGTGCGTACATGTGAAGTCACTAAAGTCTTACCAAAGGACAAGGTTATCTGTGCAAAGTAGAATAATAAATTAATAAATATCTTGGTAGGCTGGAAGGATGGTATTAACATTACTTTCACAACTTTCCTTCTAGTTGTTTATGATTATGATGCTTCTCTAATATGTAAAAGGGTATTGTAGAACTTTTGTGGAATTGTAGTTCAGCCTTATGCCAATTGTTTTTGTGAAAGATACAGCCTTTATCCTTTGGATGTTGTGCCTCAGAGCAGCATCCTAGATGTTTAGTTGTGTGCTTAATATTTAGAAAAATGATCTTAAAGCTTTTGTTTGCCACTCATATGGAAACCTATTTGATTCATTCTAAATCAGTGTCCTTTCCCCCCAAAGAGAGGTAATTGTGATTGTTTGAGTAGTCAAAGCCCTCTAAATGCATTTGGCTAATCATAAGTTGCTTCTTATAAACTTTTAAGGGAACTGAAATCGGATCTGAATAGACAGTTATTTATATAGCATAGCCTGGAACAAACTGAGACTTGCATATGCATCTCATTAGCTATTTCACCACCAACTATTTCAGGGGCACTTTTCAGAAGATGCTATCCTCCCTTACTTTAGTTGATTAGGCATCACTTGTTCTGAATATATTTCCAGCTCCATTATTCTGCTTTTTTAGGAGAGTAAGGCATCAGCTAAACCTTGCTTGGAGAGGGAGCATAGTAAAGACAGATGATGCTTACCTCAGCCTTTGCCACAGCTGTACATGCAGCTATAAGCAGCAGTGCATGAGTGCCTCCTCTGGGAATATAATGGCTCTGCAGGGAACTGTCACAAAGTCATCCTTGGAAATTATGGATAAAGGCAAAATGACTGCTAGAATCTGAATGCCTGTAGGATAATCAGTAGAGTGTTTCTTTTCCCCTGTTTGCATATGGACATCGGGGTCATCCTTGTGTCTTCGGTTCAAATGATGGAACATGTGTTATAGAAGGAGTAAGGGTTGGTGTATCTGATCATCAAGGAAGCTGCCATAACAAGGAACAAAGCATTCAAAGAGGTGTAATGGAATCCTTCTCTACATATTTGAACTGACCAATGCATATTTGAAATAAATTGGAAAAGTTTAGAAGGTGATTTGTCTTTCATTAATACGAAAGGCTCCTTCTGACTTCGGTTAACAAATGATGTGGATTTTCCAGCTCTGTTTCTCAAATCAAAGCACCCTTTTATCAAAGCAATTCAAATTGTTACAACTCAGCACTATTTCTGGAGCCTCCTGTAATGGATTGTAGTTGCTTTTCTGATTTTCTTTTTGTAGAAAGCTGTGCTGTTCACAAAAGTGTGCCTTTTGCTTGTGGATAAACTTGGAGCCTTTGAGAGAACCTGAAGTTAGAACAGTATAGCAAGACAATAGGGTAGGACAGGGGGCACTCATTCAGATTTCACAAAATATATGTGCTACTGTATGACATTTGCTTTTAATAACAGGAGCAAGTGTTTAGAATTTAGTATACTTACCTAGAAAAAGTTGTATGACCTGAATTATGCAGTTTGAGTTTCAAAGACCTATCTACCTGAAGGAGTCTTTCCAGACTTTTTCCAATAAACTGCACCTGTAATTTAAATTAATTGTCAGTTAATTATATAATGCATACTGTAATTTCCTTCTCTTAAAAAGCAACTGTTCACAGAAAAAAATACAGCATTGATTGTGAATTTTTTTAAAAAAGGAAAAGAAAAATCCCAAGACAAGAGTAAGTACTTTTTAAAAACCCACAGGAGGGAGCGAAAGTTGTGACAATTTTCTTAGGGGAATTCTGAAACAAAATGATGAATTGTAAAGCTTGTAACTACATCTGGTCTTTTATCATGGGACAAACTTGCTGCTTCAGCAGTATTGAAGGAGTGATCGTTCAGATGCCATGGGTATTAATCAACATTAGGATTATTACAACACAGTGGGAGTTGCTTCAAATAAAGAACTCAGAGCTGAAGGACTTACTCTTGGTGACCTTCATAGATACAATTTTCAAGAAAACATTATCGGTGCTTTCCTATAAAGGTTATTTCAAGGGTTAGTAAGAATCAGGGTCAACATTTGGTCAGTTCTATAACACTGAATTATTTGGGACATTAAAAGAAGAAAAAACCTGAGGCAATTCATAGAGGATTTTAAAAAGCTACACGTCTATTTGCAAATAAGGATGATAGCTCTGCTGTAGAATCTGCGTTGAGGAAAACTTTTTATCTTACCATGAAAAGACAGTTGTCCTAAGATACATACACACACACACACACACAACACACACAACACACACACACACACACACAAACAGGTCTTGGCGTATTTTTCCCATGTAAGATTGAGAGTATCTTGGCGATGTTTCAATGAGGTCCCGCTTGCCATCTTCAGGCTGATGCCTTCGGCTTCCTGCTTGTGGGAGCAAAGTGTGATCGGAGCTGTCGTCTTTCTATAAATATTGGTGAGGGTGTGTGGAGTGCTGGCTTTGTTTTTGTAAGTGGATTGGTTGGTTGTATTGTAACATATTGATTAGTTGATGAAGTTGATGTTTGCAGATTAGTTGGCTGTTTTGTAACATCCTGTGTGGCTGAGGTACTGGCTGTGTGCCTATTGTTCTTTTGTGTAAGAACAATATTAATATGCAATATGAAAGGCAGATAGCTGTAATACAAAAATCTGTAGATGAGTTGAAAAAGAGTATACTGGTGTTAAAAACAGCACTTCTAAAAACAGTAAGAGTAGGAGGAAATTTTACTGTAATTAAACATGCTATTTATGTCATGGAAGGAGTTTCTTTCAATGATTCAAGGCCTCAGAGTCACCTACATTACATTCTAATTAAGATGCTACTGAGAATAAAACAGCAGACCTTTCTTTGAATTCACCTCATCTCTTGGGACTAAATGGACACATTTCTGTGTCAGGAATATGGATCGGGGTGTTTTATTTCAAGTTCCTAGTGTGGCCTAAGTCCTAGGATTTCCTGATATCCATTCAGCTAACCAGGTATGAATTAACTTTAACTTAGCTTTTTGAGATCAGTTAACTTTGGCTAACTACTGTTGTCTGTCTGGGTTATTATCGATGCTCATTATCATCAAATGCAGTAATTGACATTTTTAAAAGATGAATAAAACCTTAGCTATATGTGACAGCATATACTTTACTGATTAAATGCCAATTCAATAAGAGTTGGTTTCAACTCTTAGCTGCAAAGTAGTTACACCTTCAATATAATTGTTCATNAAAAAAGCTTTTTATTATGTCTGTGTGTATATTACATGGATGATGATCCTTTTACTTTGTATATATAAAAGTGTGTGTGTCTCTTTGTGTGTATGTGTGTGTCTGCATCGGGTCGAGGCACATGTATATTGTATCAGAATTAGTGTGGTAAAATTGTTTAAAATGTTGAACTAGGAGCAGGGAGACCCATAGCAGCCTGCAGGATGACTTTGGACCAGTGTCCTCTTTAAACCTTAGACTGATAACTAAAAAAATAACAAAAAAAACCTATCAACTCTCACTGGACCAGCAATGTAGAAAGATGGGATAAAAATCCAATCCAATCAATCAATAAATAATACAGGCAATTGGAAAAAATCCCAAAACCCCTGGAGCACCACTTGAATCACCATCAGCTTACATCCTGCAACAATACCTTTAATGTCATTAAATAAAAACATCTGCCTATACCAGGTCCTTGGAAGACTTGATTGGTGGGAACAAATGCCAAATCCAGTCTAAACATCTGGCTGACTGTTTAATGAACCATAATAATAATAGTAGTAGTCTTGGATGCAATCCTAAAATGTCTGAGTACTGTTTGAACACCATCAGCATTGACAAAGTCAACATCAGTCAATTGCAAAAAACAGCTGTACTTGACACAGCTTATGTCCAGTGACAGCACCTTTAACACCATTAAACAACAATATCTGCTTATACTAGGTCCTTTGGAAAGACTTGATTGGTAGATTTAAAAATACCAAATCCAATTAAATATCTGGCTGATTGTCTGAGCAATTGCACTATAATAACAATAATGCAAAAGACCAAGCCTTAAGAGCAAATGCATACAAAGCCAGAATTGAGAAGTCAGCAATGCTTCCCCTGCAAAGAAGCTGAAGAAACAGCGAAAAAATTCTTTGCTAAAAAAATAAATAATCATAGACTGACTACAAACTACAGGATGACAAAGTAGCCATAATGATGCATTAGCATATCTGCAAGAAATGCCATTTGCCTGCAAGCAAGACCTGATGAGACCACAAAATAGACAAAGTAATAGAAAACGGAGGTCTGGGGCTTTAGAATTCAAACAGACAAACACCTGCCACATATCTTAAAGGCTTAACAATTGTTGATAAGAAAGAGTAGCGGACATAGCTTTACTTGGAATCAGGATACTAAAAGAGAAAGAATTGGAGAAAAATCACAAAATACAAAGACCCTCAAATAGAAATAGAATGCAAAAGAAAGCAAAAATGGTACCAATAGTAATAGGTGCCTTGCAAGCATTCCCAAAACAACTGGCACACCACTTAAACGCCATCATCATTGACGTAATCCCCATGAATCATGAGTTCAATATTTGTCTGAAAGTCCAGGACATTTGATTATAAATGGTTGAGCCATTCAGTAAAGAATATAAATATGTGCTCACTGTCATTTTTAATTGATTGGATCCCCAGTTTGAATAGTTCAAATTGAATGTTGTTATATGGTCCATGAGATTTGAAGGAAAGGAAGGTAGCATCTGCTTCAAGTTAAGGATGAAATCCATAAATAGAATAGTTATTTCATAAAACGAACTGTTTTTCAGCAGTTATTCAGAAGTTTTCACATCTTGGTTATGATTTCTATTATCAGGCTGAACATATATTTAATTTTAAGAGCATGCATTTACACCATAACTTTAAAAGGTTTCTTCTCAAAAATGGTTGCCAAAGTGGGAATGAGTCTTGAAACCCTTGTTTACTAAAAGATTGCTCTACAATTGGAATTGGAATTGGAAAAGTTTATTTATAGGCCGCCCTTTTCCCTGGGGGGACTCAGGGCGGCTTACAACTCGTAGGGAAAGGGGATACAAACAATGACACATAAGCACAATGTACAGTGTATCCTCCCCCCCCCCGCCACCATGCTTTCTACAAGCCTAGCTAACTTTTCCATCTTCTCTAGGCCTTATTTTTCTTTGTTATTTTTGTTTTTAAGGAAAACGTTGACTTACAATCATGGTAACAATGCTTCAAAGATAGATATTATTTATTTATTATAAATAACTAACAAAAGTAGATGCTTTACTAACGACTAACATTTATTTTTATTTTTCTTTGATTCCTAATACACACACACACACAAACACACACAAAGAAACCAAAAATAAATTTCTCAAGAGAAGTATCTTCACGGTGTTGTGTCAAGACATACCATGTTGCCAAGCTGTGACATATTGCAAAGTATATCATAAATATTATACAGAAGAGGCATGCATTATTAACTTCTTGTCATTAAAACTAATGGCATTGTTCCAAGAAGCAGCATGCAGTTCATTATATTTTGCATTGTATTTTCATCCAGTGATTCTTAATATTGTATTATTTACTTCCTCCTTTACTTGCATTCTGTCAAAAATCCTGTGAATTAGGTTCAGCTGTGAACAAGTGACTGGTTAAGTCTTGCCTCGCGTACGTTGTGTCTTCCTATGAAATCTTAAGGTCTTATGATTGAATATAGTTTTCTACTCTTTATGAGTAGCATTTAATATAAACCAATTTGGAAATTAATGGGTCACCTGATTTTAATTGGGTTAACTCTTGGCTCCAAACAGATAAGATTGTTGTAATGTTTTTTTTAAACTTATATCAAGAGGATTAGCAACCTGATCGTAAACATTTGCATGATTATATTTGGTTTGTATTGTATCTTTCTGTCTAATTAATTATTCTTTTAATGAAATATTTGTTTTTAATTGGAATACATTCATATTTGATAATGTATTTATTATGTACTATTGGTTTCTATTATAGTATTTGTCTTATTTTATTGCTGTATAACTTTTAAAATTCATTTTATGGCGAAAGGTGGAATATAAATTAGTAAATTAAGCTAAGTTAAATAAATACTTTTTTCTCCAGTGCCTTTGATTTGATAAGTATGCTGCAGTCTTGGGACTTATAGATAATAGAATGGTTCTACTTTATCACACTTAATGTCTGCATATTTTCAAACTGTTGTTCAAGTAATGCTTTATTTTGAAATTGAAGTATCAAGTGTTAAAAGGAGACCTGGAAATAATGCTTATAGTTCCATATTGTATTTCAACCTTGATTTGCTGCAGCATATCATAGTCCAGGAATCAGTACCTATTTCTGGAATCTTGAACTAAAATTTCTAAATAGCTTTCATTCTTCCACTTACTAACCTCTAATGTGGCTTTTGAAAATGATAAAATTATCTACCAGCAAACTGGTATCCAATATGCACCACTGAGACAGCTTTAGGTCAGTGTATAGGTGGCTTTGAAATATTAAAAAAAACCATATTGATATATTTGTTGGTAAAATTAAAAACCTGTCATGAACCATAAGCATAACATTCTTGAGTTATTCCTGTTCAGTTTTGTTTGGAAAAGTCTGAAGCAATGGATGAATATCTGTTTTCATTTCTCAGGTTATGAGACCAGGGTTAGGATGAAATTGTAAATGTAATTTTCATGTACGTATATCTCTTTGACTTCCTCAATACGTTTTGATTAATTTGACTGTTATGATGAAAGGAAGAAATCAAACGAGGGAGATTTGGAAATTCAAATGGACTCTTACCAGTTCCGGTTGGTTGGTTGTGGCATCAGACATGTCTTCCTTCTCATACCCATAGTACTTAGATGTAAACTCATCACTGAAAAGTATTAATGTAATTGAAGGAACAGCATTCAGCAGGTTCAAATATTACCCCTAGCTCATATCTGACTGATCTGACATATGAAAGTTAAAAGAAATGTAATTTTCATGTACGTATATCTGACAACAATTCTCCTCTTTATTTTTCCCTTTTCTTTTATAGGTACTTCTTACGCTGTGTCTCTTGTGAAGAATGTTCAATAGTGGAGAGTGATTTTTTTTTAATCGAATACAAGTCGTTACCTCTGGAATCCCAGTGGATGTCTTGCTAAGCCAAGTGGAACTTTGCCCGTTCTTTTCTCAAGTTTTCTTTTGTTTGTTTGTTTTGCTGTTGTTGCTTTATTTTTTCCTTGCACAGGGAGAAGAAGTAAAATGAAATTAGGCAAAGTAGAGCTCTGCCATTTTTTGCAGATACTAGCTCTTTTCCTCTGTCTTTCTGGGATGAGCCAAGCAGAACTGCCAAGATCGGGATCAAAGCCCTACTTCCAACCTGGGAGATCACGAACCAAACGCAGTTGGGTGTGGAATCAGTTCTTTGTCCTGGAGGAATACATGGGAAGCGATCCTCTTTATGTAGGAAAGGTAGGAGAACTTATCTAATTTTATATGACACAGCTTTTTGCCTAATGAAAACCATTACAATGTGATTCTGAATTGTGTTGATAAAGTGCCATCTTCAACCAGCTGTCATGTTGCTCTGTGTAGGCTATACCTCCCAAATGCCTACTCAGAACAGAAGATAGATAAAGCTATATGAGACTGATAATGCAAGGACTGCAATTTTAAGCAATTATTTTACTTTCAGACATCTCTGAGAATTTTTACTTCAAAAAGTAACGGGCAATATGACTTTTATGTCCCCAAATGTTTACCCATTACTAGGGTGCTTATGTTCCTATATAGTCTCAGAGTTGCACTGCATTGGAGAACTACAGCATTACATNATGAATTCCTGCAAAAGATGCAAGGATTCTATAGGCCAAACTTACTCACTCATTTACATTTTATTTTGTATCCTAGATAGATAAAAAGACCTCTGAATGTCTGACATTGGGTATGCCCAGGTTTTTCTCTTCTTTCTTTTTCTATAATTATTTTGGGACACCATTCCCTTGTTTTAGAATAGTAACTTTTTTAAACAACACATTGTCTTGAGAAAGATTTTCATTTTCTCTGTTATTAAGAAATCTTTTTGTCATATCAAGACAGGTATATTTATTGCTATAAATACAGGAAGTCTGCCTGAGGCATTATTGTACCTGACCATGGTCTACACATTTCTGCAGATATTATTTCCCCTTTGTGAGTGGATCACCTCTGCCCTTATACTTTCAAAATATATGGAAGCCAACATCTTTAACTTTGCTGGGGCTGGTGGGGAGGACAGTTAGTAACAGTAATAGAGTTGGAGGGTATCTTGGAGATCTTCTTGTCCAACCCCTTGATCTGGCAGGACATCTATGCTATTTCTGACAAATGACTATCCAGTCTCTTCTTAAAAGCCTCAGTATGGGACACCCACAACTTCCAATTGTTCCACTGGTTAATTGTTCTCACTGTTGGGAATTTTCTCCTTAGTTCTAAGTTGCTTCTCTCCTTGTTGTTTCTTGTCCTACCTTATTTTGGTAAATAACTCCCCCCCACTTTCCTTGTGGCAGCCTTTCAAGCATTGGGAATTTGCTATCATGTCACCTCTGGTCCTTCTTTTCACTAGATTCCTGAAATAGTTCTTCATATGTTTGAGCTTCTAGGCACCTACCGTAATCATTTTGGTTTCTCTTCTCTGAATTCCTTCCAAAGTCTCGACAACTTTTTTGCACTGATGAATGTGCATAGGCAGCAGGAAGCTGATTTCTGGTGATGACAAAGTCAGTTTAACCAGAATGCTCAAATGGTATAAATTACAAGAATACGATCTCTGAAAAATGGAAAAAAAGGTACATTGTTTTTATGATGTAAACAGATTTGGAATAATGTTTAGTTAAGAAATTAAGGCAAAATATTTCTGGAAACTATATTTCGTGGAGAGAAAAAATGTAATATATGGCATCCCTCTACCCCCCACTGCCGGTATTATTGTCAGAGACTACCTGGACAAGCCCCTCCAGTTTTCTTGGCAACACTTTTCAGAAATGGTTTGCCATTGCTTCTTTTCTAGAGTTGAGAGAAAATGACTGGCCCAAGGTCACCCAGTATGTTTTGTGCCCAGGGCAGAACTAGAATTCACAGTCTTCCATTTTGTAACTTGATGTCTTAATCATTACACCACACTACTTCTCTGCTAGTTTCTTTAGGAGCCCCCAATTCCTGATACTGTACAATTTTACAATGGCATTGCAAAAATGCCTTTGATTCTTCTCAATTTATGGCTGAAGTTGTACATTAATGCTCCATTCCAACCTGGCAATTTTCATGTTCCTTCTTCAAGTTTAGAAGGAAAAGTAGCAGCAATTTTGTGTCACAATAATCAAGGTTATTATGGCAGCCCTGGAATATAAATGTTTCTTCAAAGCAAGACATTTCAGAGTGGTTTGGGGTAAAAAAAGACCCTAACACATTGCAAATGTTTTACTGACATTTCTTATGAAAATTGAGTTGGTATTTTTATCCCCGTTAAATAACAATCTGCTGCCTCTCTGAAATAAGATGACAGTTTATCAATATCAGATGGTTACAATAACCAAGTTGGAATTGTGTGACTTTAGTGACAGCTGAGAGAACAACAAAGGTTAAGCTTAATTGTGGTTCAGCTGAATGTACTAGGATTTGCAATCAGGGAGAAAATTAGAAACCATGATTAGAAGAAAATTGAATTGCATGGTTTATACTAAATCTGGTTGATAAGATTTATAAATGACAAAACAGCCCTAGTTCTTTCTTGGTAGCCAGCTATAAAGTAGAAGCAGGAGAGCGAATGTTTGCAATCATGATTTGTTTTAAATTAAGATTTTGCATGTTACCTCAACATTCTTGCACATTATGTATGATAGGGACTTTGGTTTCTTGAATTCTTTCCATATCCTTTACCAGAATTTGCTGTAAAAAGTATTTCTAGTTTATTGTTGCATCTCTGTGTATTAGCATCTTTCTCTTTGTTTCCATGCTCATTTTGTGTTGTACCTCTGTGTTGAACTGAATTGAAATCAGATTAAATTACACATCAACTATGTGGATTGTTTAATTCTATTTAAAGATGAAATTATATTAGACGTTTATATTTAAGCAGTGAAAGTAGAAATAGTGACTAGATGCCAACAAAGAGCATTTTCTGTGTCTTATTGTCATTGTGTCAGTGTTAGATTTTTTTAAAATAGTTCAGCTATATTATAGTAGCTTTTCATTGCAGATGGTCCTTGACCTATGACCACAATTGAGATCACAGGATTTCTGTTGTTGAGACATTTGTTAAATGAGTTTTGCCCCATTTTATGACCTTTCTTGCCACAGTTGTTAAGAGAATCACTACAGTTATCAGTTAATAACCTGGTTGTTAAATGAATCTGGCTTCTCCATTAACTTTGCTTGTCAGAAGGTCGCAAAAGGGGATCACGTGGTCTTGGGACACAGCAACGGTCATTTGACAAGTACTTGTGATTTATCATTTAATGATTACAATATAGCTTATTTCATGACCAGTGAGGTTATCAAAGATAATTATAGTTATCACAGCAATAAAACAATGTATTCTTTTTTTCTTTCTATTGATCTATATTTCTTCAGTTATGTACCTGATGTAATTCTATGTAAACAAGTAGAAGAAAAACCTCAAAAGCCAATTAGGTTTGTATGAATGACAACATTTATGTTTTTAAAGCTGACTTAAGCAATTTTCATAGCCCGCAATTTCCATTTATTTATCTAGTAGTCAAAGGTCAAAACTAAAGATCTGTCTGTCTGTCTGTCTGTCTGTCTGTCTGTCTGTCTGTCTCTATCTATCTATCTATCTATCTATCTATCTATCTATCTATCTATCTATCTA